ACGATGGACTTGTCTTCCCGCGATACCTGGATGACACGGGAGTATGTGGCGCTTTCGTGGTGACGGAACGTGCCATTGTCGAAGATCAAGATGCTGCCGTCCTCGAGCTCACTTGCGCAATGTTGTTGTGCAACGACTGTGGAGTCGAGATGCCATATGATCTCGCCAGTTTGACGAGAGATGATGACCACAGCAGAGACACTACGCAGAGACGCGAGAATGTTGCCATCGGCGAGAGGATACACTGAGTTAATGAGTGGCCAGTGTTCTCTAGCGTAGTGCGGTTGGAGTTTGAACTTCTTTGGATCCAAGTGATCGATCGCTTTCCAAGACCAAAGGAGCTCGCCGGATTCCGAAACATGCTTGATACAGTCGGCATAGACTTTCCCGTCAGGTGCTTCAGTCTCCGGGATTCCACCGAGTACACAAGCACCCTTCTCTGGTTCAAGCCCCTCAACGGTTGTATATAACAGCTCGCCGTTGTCAAGATGGTGTTGATCGTGATGTGCCAGGGGATCACGATGCTCTTTCACGACATTGCCTTGCGGATCCACTTCCATCATTACTCCCCCCCTATATTTTTGCCATAGGGGAAACAATCGGGGTGCATCAGGGTGCACGCCATTGTAGGCCAAATTTCCGTTCTTGAGAAGCTGAGCATGCCTTCCAGGGCGGTATGGTAGGTTCCATTGATGCACCACTTGGCCGTGATTATCGACGAGGTTGACTGTTCCGGGACTCGTGAGATGGGCGAACAGAGTGTAACCTGGGGAGACTTTGTGCGGATCGATTCCGCGTAGTCCGAGGCCTCGACGGGCGAGCGTGCTTTGTTCCATCTTGATAGGAGACGGGTATAAATGCTGAAGCTGCTTTGGATGAAGAGTATCGTGCGAAGAGATGCCTTTTTGACGTCTCTGTTGGTGGCAAGAGAGCCGCGGAGTCAACCGATGGAAGAGAGTAAGAACAAGTTGGACTAGATGACGCCTTATCTGGGCGCAATGAGCAATCTTATATTCGAAAGCTACTCAATCGTTTTGCGACAGACACTTCTCTGCTCACCGCGGCATACCGCGAAGTCCTCAGCGTTGATAGGAGAGATATGATGAGAACCGCGGCATACCGCGGCGATACCGGTCCCCACTATCTACGCTACGGCATGCCGCGGGCGATAGGCCTTATCACGACATTGCGAGCGTAGGCTCTAACATACGCCATTGCATGTTATGTTCAAGATGATGGATATAATGCCTACGCCTGAAGTTCATTGTTGTAGTCTTCCTTCAACACGCGAAGCACAACGCATACAATGGCAGCAACAAAGGCAGCCTTCACCACAGATTCCGAGATGAATTCCAAGGAATCCTTTAGGACTCCGTCCCACGATGGGATTCAAACTGGCACCACCGAGAAAACATCAACTGCTTCAGGACTCAAGTACTGGGCCCAGCGTCTCGCTGTAGAGACTGGTGGGATCGAACGGGTGACAGACGAAGATCGAGCCGAGAACACCTCGAAAGTATGGAATGCTTGCACTTTCTGGTAAGTCCACAAGTTCACTGAATCCCTCTAGCGTAGACTGATAATGTTAGGATGAGTGCCAACATGGCTGTGGCAACGCTGAACGTAGGCACCGTTGGCGGCAGTATGGGCCTGTCATTCTGGGACTGCTTTGCCATCATCATGGTTGTCAACCTTGCGTCCTGCCTTCTACCCGCATGGACCGCAACATTTGGCCTGACTGGCCTGCGAATGACGACCTTTTCGAGATACTCATTCGGCTACTGGGGCAATCTCCTGGTCGTCATCTTCTCCATGGTCTCTACTACAGGCTGGAACGCCGTCAACAGCATCTCTGGTGCCTCAGTACTCTACGCGCTATCGGACGGCAAATGCCCTCAATGGGCTGGCGTCATTATCATCTGCACCACGGTCTGGATCATCTGTAGCCTAGGCATCACATGGATCCATCGCCTCGACGCCTTTCTCTGGATCCCGCCATTCATCGTTTGGTGCGTCGCAGCCGGCACGGGCGCAAAGCACTTCGACGGCAACGCGATCAAGTCTCCCACTGGCGCTAACGGAGCAGCCGCAGCCTTCTCCTTCATCGCCGTCATCTTCTCGTTCGCGGTATCTTGGATCAACTGCGCAGCGGACTACAACGTCAAGATGCCCGTCAATACACCTCGGTGGAAGATCTTCGTCGCCACGTATATCGGCATCTGTGTCCCAACTGTCTTGGTCCAGACACTCGGTGCCGCGCTGTACAGCGGGACAGAAGTCAACCCTGCTTGGAAGGCTGCGTACCTCGACGCGGGTGTTGGTGGGCCACTGAAGATGGCTCTGCTCCCAGCTGGTGGATTTGGAAAGTTCCTCATGGTGCTTGCGGGTCTGAGTTCAATCCCGAACAACATCCCAAACAACTACTCTTTCGCCATGCACGCGCAGAACTTCGGCCCCTGGGCCCTCCGCGTCCCGCGCATAGCCTTCGTGACCTTCGGCTTCGTCGCCGCCGTCGTCGTCGGCTGCTGCGCCGCAACTTTCTTCTCCGACACGCTGTCAACCTTCCTCTCCATCATCGGCTACTGGACCATCATCCACCTGGTCGTCATCGCCGAGGAGCACATCATCTTCCGGCGCTCGCGCTGGCAGAACTACGACTGGGATGCGTGGGCGAGCTGGGAGTTGCTGCCGTTTGGGTGGGGCGCGATTGGAGCGTTTTTATTCGGGTTTTTGGGTGCGGCGCTGGGGATGAAGACGGCGTGGTATACGGCGCCGATTGCGGGGCTGATTGGGAAGAAGGGCGGGAATGTGGGACATGAGCTTACGGCGCTGTTTTGTGGGGTTGCGTTCCCTGTGTTTCGGTATGCGGAGAAGAGGTGGACTGGGAAATGAACGGGATATCACGCACAGCAGTTCGTATTCGATGGATTTGGATCATATATGAATATGAAGTATAAACGGGTATATTGTTAATCCTATCCGAAGATTCCTCAAAGGAGAAGGAAGAGAATCGTCGAACCTGCCGCCCCCTAAATACCCACCCACATGATCTTACAACCAACCCGCCAGCGCCCAAGATATACACATCCTCAATCACCCGCCCCATCCTCAGGCAACCCCTGCAAAACCCCTTCCACAACCCCAATAAGCTCATCCACATCCGGCCGCTCCCCGGCTCCAACCTCAAACACATCCTAACAACCTCCTTGACACTTTCCGTAATCGCCTGTTCCTCACTCCCAGCCCCAGCCCCACCCACCTTCTTCTGTTGCTTCCCCTATCACCCCTCTGCACCGCCTCATCCGGGAACCGCCAATCCCCGCCCAACACACAGATACTCAGACTGCCCCCCGTTTCATCGCTGCGGGCTTCGAACGGGGATTTGCCCACCAGGCAGGCGTACAGCGTGCAGCCGAGGGACCAGATGTCGACTTTTGTGTCGATTACGGAGCCCGTTTTTACGTCGAAGAGTTCGGGCGCGCGGTACGGCATTGTGGAGTGCTCGGCGGCGGTGTCTTGGACTTGGAGGGCGAGCGAGCGGGAGGTTATGGGTGTGGGGGAGGGGGAGAGCGAGCCGAGATCCATGAGGATGGGGGTTTGGCCGTCGTCGTCGATCATTATGTTGCCTGTGGGTTGGCTTGTTAGTATCACTATATTGGATGAATCTTGAGGGTATGGTAAGGTAGGTTAGGGTTGGTAAGTTGGACTTTGCGGTACGTACCAGGCTTGATATCGCGATGGGCATATGCGCGCTCTCCACCAGGCGCAATGCCCTCTTGCGCCATTGTGACATTCGAATCTTCTAACAGCCCCTCTGCTTCCTGTTCGTCATCGTCGTCTTGCTCCCGATGTCTCCTGCTCGGCCTCATCTCCATGCTCTCTGCAGCCTGCGCATCCGCTCTCGCCGCATCGTTCCTGACCTTCTTCGCCTTGCGCTCGCTGCGCGCGCCGCCGGGTCCGCCCTTGACTTTGTACTGGTGCATGGCTTTGAGCGCTTTGCACACGCCGAGGAACAGCACCATTAATCTGCGCTCTGGGAACTTTGTGTGGTTGACGAGGTTGGCGTTGATCATGTCTTGCAGGTTACCCCGGCGGTAGTAGGGGAGCAGGATGTAGACGGTTTTCGCGGACGGGTCGGACTTGTCGGTTTCGACGGAGTAGTCGATTGAGTGGATGATGTTGGGGTGGGGGGAGAAGAGCGTGTATGCTTCGACTTCTTTCAGCGCCAGGCTTACGCTTTCTTGGCCGAAGGGACATCGGATCTTCTTGAGGGCGAGAAGCTGCTGGTTGGAATTGTCCTGGACGAGGTAGACATAGGAGAAACCGCCCTAGCGTTTCGGTTAGTCAATGTAGTCGAAATGCAGTGGGAATCATGGACAGCTTATTACCTCGCCCAGCAATCGCAGTATCTTGAAACTCCGGCTGTTGATCTTGAGCTGTGGAGAGCTGGGAAAGCAGACCATGCAATTCGTGAACGAATACACTACGTCCAGGAAATATGTCCCTAACGATCCCATCGTGCCGTACCGTGCCGTGTCGTGCTGTTCTGATTGGGATTGTTTGCGGAACTGTTGACAGCTTGCGGGAGCTCGATGCCGAGCTGGACGGTAGACGCGCGGTCGAATTGGCACGTCGAATGTCAGCGTAAGGGTCGGGGATGAAGCGATAGGTTTACGAAGATGGACCTGGAAGTCACGCTAAGCAGCAATATATGGCGAGAGGTGTTGTTCTGGTGGAAGATGACGCGCAACGGTGTTCGGAGGAGCTGACCCATGTGGTTCGTCCAGGGATGCGCCAAGGGTGGTGTGGCTGTACGTTATCCACAGCCATGGACGAATCTGGATTCTTGAGGACCCGCAGCTTCCCGCCTGACTTAATTTCTGCTAGAGCCTTTCAGTTCAAGTGACTTCAGACGAAGTGTCAAGCCTTATCACTTTGTTTTTTACTATATAATGTTTTTATTTCGCAATTTTGACATCTTATGTAAGATCAATCTTCTTGGGCGTGTGGCTCAGTGGTAGAGCGTCCGCTTTGCATTACACAATGGTTTGCGGAAGGTCCGGGTTTCGATCACCCGCCCGTCCAATTTTGCTTCTTTTTTTGCCTTTTAGTTTATCTCCAGAACCTCTCGAGAACTATAAATAAAGGCCCCCAATCTTCACGCCTCAGATACAAGCACGACCCTGGGGGCCGACAGAGCTCTAGCTATCAAGAATCTTCCACGTCAAACATCAGCCTGGAGGTTATCAGTGGAATCCAGCTGACACAAATTGCACCACATCATTAAGGTGGTTTGGCGGTTGACAGATATGAGAAGCACATCATTCATTCCTTTGATAACGACCCTATGGGTCAATGGCTATAGAAACTCCACCTCTGACCCCCCCCACGCAAGACTCTGGAGGGCTCATCTACTCATCACCGAGGCGAGCCATGGTGATGAGCTCTCTGAGGGCGTCCCTGACGGCGCCTCCCCTTTTGCTTCACTATAGGACTTGAGTATAGGTATCCACAAGTCAAGGTCCGTCCCATCGCTTGTGCGAAAAACACCTTTTCCTCGACATTTCCTACATTCTCAGTAACTTCAGTGTTGTATTACGCAGTGTTCTTCAAGTCCCACATTCGACATTACCCTCTATCCGCACTCCATCGGAGGCTTGGAAGCGCGACGACCTTCAAAGCTGGATATGAGAACGCAATGGCGATACAGCGCACAAACTTGACCGGACTCATTGAGATTATCCCTGGAGACGACAAAATAGATATCAAAGGAGGCATACGAGACCTACAACTTGATTCACGACTCGGATTATTACAGCAACTCGCACAGAGTGCAGAGTGCCCACTTTGACGATCTCGTTCAGAACAACCTGTGCCGATTGCAGCAAGCCCGGCGAGGTATTGCATCAGGTGGTCGAAGACCCTATCTTTGTTCCAAACCTCATCCTCTGCCAGACCGCGATATCCAATCTCTTCGGCCCAATCTTCGAAGTCGCGCAGGATAGTTAGCAGTGCGGCGTTTGCCAGTACGTACCGTAGGTGCTGCAGAGGGATCGTAGAAAAGAAACTTTGAAGCCTTCTTCATCTGTCTCAATCTTCTCTTCTCCAAAAGGGTCAGTCCTGCCTCTTGTAACCCCCGCCTTCCACTGTCCCTTCCGCTTCGAGCTTGTGGAAGCGCTATCCGGCGTGCCGAGTGGGCGCCTCGACATTATCGTGGGAAGTTGCTGGAATTGTCGACGGAGCTCAGATGTTGGTGTAGATTGAAGGTTGTGCTGTATGAGAATAGTATAGGTAGGTAGGTAGGTTGAAAGGGGATTGCCTGCCAGCCCTCCAACCTTCCGAGTGAGTGAGTAGTTAATTTATGTATTCTTTTCGTCCATCCTCAATGGTTCGGTAGCGTCACCAACTCAACGAGTGAAATGCCTTCCTTCGAGTGGTTTTACACGGCTTTCTGACATTTGCAGAGGAAAAGAAAGAACATCTAATTGCTGTGATGTGATCCAGGTAACCAAGTACGTGACGGTCAGTGGAGTGACAACTCGACAACCTACCTAGTCCCCTGAAGCCAGGTACCCTATTTTCTTCTTTTCTCAAAGAACAAACTAACGTAGTCGTGTGTTGTGTGCAGAGCAGAAACAGAATAATGAACAGAAAGGAAAGTTTTTGGCGGCCGCACTACCGCGGTAAGATGACTGACTGACTGACTGACCGACTGACTGACTGATGGATTGATATTATACACTTAACTAACTACAAGCAGCAACCATCTTGCCGATTGTGACTACACTGATTGTCCTTCAATCCCTCGACGAAAATGCCCAAGACGCCAGTAGTCCGCTCGCCAAACGCCCCCATCTTTTTTGGACGTTGACAAATATGATATGATTAACACACCGTAGAAGACCGGTGTGGGGTATACTAAAGGAATAGGTAGGTATTAAGAAGCCCAACATCACAGTCTGGAATGCGCCTCTACAGTACTACGACGTATTTGCATTCGACTGCTGCTGCACATTGCCACCACCACTGACACCCGTAGTACTCTCCCTCTTCCGCCGTCGCCTCTGCCTAGCATTATCCTTGAGGAACTGCTCATCGATATAACCGCCCGGCAACTCAAAGTCCCTCCTCTCAGGCTCGAACTCAGGGATCGGCAGCCCAAAGGCGCTCGCGTTGCGGCCGTGGCGATGCTTTCCCAGGGCCGCGGCGCGGAGATGTGGTTTGGAGTAGAAGGATTGGAAGGGGACGACGGGTTCGGGGGATGGGAGGGAGTAGGAAGCCATGTGGTCGAGGCGGCCGTCGAGGTTTAGGCGGGTCGGAAGGCTCTTTGGCATGATGTCTAGGTGGTGCTGGGGGCGGCGCATCTCGGGTCTTCAGACGGATGGTGTCCGATGCTTCTGTGTCTTCGCCATCTTCTTCTTCGTCTTCGTCGCGGGCAGCAAGTGCAGCTTCCTTTTCGGCCCGTAGGCGCTTCTCTTCTTCTTTCCAGATGCGGAATTTGTCGACGAGGGCTTCCACCTCTTTGACGAAGTAGTCGCGCTTTGGCTCCCAGTCCTTCCTCTCGCCGTCTGTGACGCCGGTTATGCCCATGACTTTCAGCCAGTCGGGCCCTTGCAGGCCGTCTAGTAGTCGCTCTAATTGCACCTTCTCGTGCATGGCGCGCTCCTTCTCGATGTTGCGGAGTTGCTTCTCTTTCCGCTCTGCGCGCCGGTGTTGTGTGAAATACACCGAGTCGGCCAAGGGATCTTCGCCGTCGGCATAGCGAAGGCCTTTCGCTACAGTGGCGTAGTCAAGGACTTGGAAGGATGTGGAGGATTGCGTGGGTGATGTTGCGGGATTGGAGGCGCCCCGGGGAGGGGACGAATCTTTTGATTTGCGTAATCGTGAAGGGCTGACGGGCTTTGTTGAGGGCTCAGGCGTGACGGGTGCTGGTGTCTTGGATTTTGTGGGCTCGTCGACGAGGTATATGGGCGTATCGACATGGAGGAACTCTGCATGCACATTAGCCCAGACAACGTCCATGCTCCACATGGGCATACGCACCAGCCGGCTTCGGCACGCCTACAATGATGTCGTCGTAGTTGGAAAAGTATGTGGCCAGGTCGCTTTTCAGTCGTGATCCGCCATCGTGGCTCCTGAGGCTGCGCTTGTCCTTCCATGTCGAAGTTTGAAGCTTCCCAGCGCTGCCTGGCCGCGGCGTCGACCTCGCAGAGTGCACCTCGTCTGCATCGATGCCCAGTGGCGCCGTGACGCCGTTTGTGATGCGGAGAAGCTCGCCATGTGGTTGTGTAACGGTGATCTTGGTGGGTGGTCTCGTGTCGGTCGCGTCAGGACTCAGTTCGGCGGCGGGCCGCTTCCTGCTGGTCGTGCGGGCCAGCGGTGCTGCTTTCGCAGTTGCAGGCGCGTGGTTTATTTGCTTGACGGCCTTTTCGCCATCAGCGAGGACGAGCAATGGGCCGCTTTTGGAGCTGCGTCGCGTGGTGACGGTCGTCTTGTTGCGGGGGGCGTCAGCGGGCGCAGCAGGCGACAGAGTGAGTCTCGTCCGGCGCTCAATCGCAGATGACAGCGCAGGCCGAACGGCGTGGGCCATGGTTTTGATCAGGAGAGGTCGCGTTTGGCTGGCTCATCTTTCAGTCATTGTTATTGATTCGCTGCTCTGCCGTGGACTGAAGTGTCGCGCTGGGCAGGGTCACGGCAAAACGCGAAGGGGAAGCTCGTTCGCTGTTTGGGCAGGCGAGCGGCTGCACCTGTACGAACCTGAGCGGCCTCACGTCTGCTTGACACAATTGCTATCAGAGGTCGAAATAAGCTTCATGGAGAGCCTCACGGTCTCTCAGATGCTCCAGTAAATGCAAAGATTATTCAACGAATCGAAATCCACCAACTCGGAAAATACTTGGAAAATAGTCAAGCGCCACATGGTGTTCTGGCCAATCAGCTGCGCTGAACCTGGAAACTCGCGAGCAACCGTCAGGCTTCAGTAGTGAGCAGTCCAGATCGTCTACTAGAGGATGTGTATCATGGATTATATAGGCATGCTATGTACAGGTGAATATTTGAGACATGATTGGTAAGTATCCTTGGCCGGGCATGGTAATCCAAGGTGTTGAGGATTCCAGAACGCTACGCTATCCTGGACGAGACATTCCACCCGAGCTCTTGCCACAGCCGCTCCAAGGCACTATATTACGAGAATCAACATCCTTATATACCGGGCAATTAATTACGAGAAGAGAAAGTCCTTGAGTACAGGCGATCCAGCAAACTCCGGGTTCAGCAGAATGCAGCTAAGAATAGGTCAGTCGATATTCGCTAGCGCCATGTAGATCATGGACGAACTTCAAGAAGTACGAGAGGCCCTGCTTCCGCTTTTCTAGAAACCTGGGCCTGAAGCGAGCTACCGGACATGTAAGTATTGGCTCGAGCTTGATTGGGTAGGTAGGTGGGGTGAGCAAGTCGACCATGTGACTTACATATTACGGATTTGGGTGGGAACTGGGGCATGGAGCCGGCGGCGTGAGGAAAGGTTTGGACCAGCTTTGCATGCAGGTCTTCGAATTCTGAGTATCTGGTCTGGAATCAGCGAAGAAGTACATGTGGCCGACTCCAACTCACCTTTTTCGTATCTTCATGGGACCACCCTGGGTTTCGTTAGTCGGTTGCGGTAATCTGGAGAAGCGCAGCTGCTCAGTAGTTCCATCGTGGACCCCGCTGCATGAAACGATGTTTTGGACACAAGTCCAACAATCGATTGGTTGCGGGGACCCGTCTTTGCATGTAACATGTGGGCCGTCTTCAGCTCCGCCTGCACCTACACCGTACATGCGGCTCTCGGAAAACTTACATCCAGCGTCTCAACAGTGCAGTTATATACTACGTAAGCACCCAACCCCGGTGCCGTGCCACTGACAACGACGTAGTCATCTATGGTGACACCTTTCGCCCACAGGGCCTTGCATTGCTCGGAGCTTTCGTCGGTGTGGTCTTCGAGTCCAATGGGCGTAGGACGGCCGTTCTCAGTCGAGTAAGAACTCAGATGGCTGGCGGTCCGCTGATGCCTCTGCCAGTACGGCGGGATTACGCTG